GCAGGTGATTGTGGTGTGACTAATGCTCACAGTCAGGTTTGCAGTGCAGTGTGATAGGGAAATACTAATAAAATACAGTTTGTCCTGAACTGAATTAGCAAGGTTTTTTTTGTTTTGTGAATTAAAATGGCAACTTGATTGTATATCCAGAGTTCCAGTACAGTGCGCCTGAAACAGTGCTGACTCTTGGATAGTAAAATAAAAAAAGGAACTTTGTGAGCATTCAGACATAATGATATATAATTTATAATTAGGATTTAAAATTATATATATTTAGCTTGTTTAATAACCACTGTAAGAATAGAACTGTGATACATTACTGTATCCTTTTGTTATCCATCAATCTGCAAATTTTCAAGATGTAAACAAAGAAGAGGTCTAGAAATAGTAAATATCAAGAGAAATTCCAGAACAGTGAAATTCAGGGAAAACCTATGCAAGGAAAATAATGCAGTCTATGTCATCTCTGACAGGTAACCTTTAAATGTCTGAATTGGCCCGTTTTTCAACATGCCAGTGAAACACAAAAGTTTGAAATAACAGCAATCATCACTTGTACAATGTCTGTCATTTAGTACAAACCCATAGATAATGTGTTTCTTGCACTTTCAGTTGAGCTGTCCTAACATCAGAAAAAGCAAAAGGCCTCAGTCTTTTCTTCTGCAGCATCGTTACTGATAGTTTTTGTACTTCAGATTGTGTTGTCAGTAGAGGTATCTCTATCCAGTTTGCAAACATAAGGAATGAATAAACCAGGTGAACTATTAAATGGTTCGTTTTTTCATGTGGTGTTTGTATGTCTTGAGTTTTGCAACATGACTAAAAATCTGGCATCCTGAATGCAATTGCTGCTACGGAATATACCTGATTTGTAGAAGTATTACAGTGAACTGTGCATTCTAGTCATCAGTGATGGAAGTTTAAGAATGTAAAAGAGGCTAAATGTAAACTGGGTTGATTTGTTGGTTTTTTTTTTCCCTCCTGGTAACTACTTTGCTGCTGATAGGGAATGGTTTAGGTTTTCCTGAGAATGAGGTTATAAAAAATCGGTCATTATGCTTAGTAGAAGCTAATGGAGTTCTGTGCCAGACTTCTGTTTAATCTTTTGAGTCCATTTGTGCTTTAGCCTTCACAATATCCTCTAGCAATATGTTTCACAACTTAGTTATAACCAGGTTTGTAGAGCAAGGGAAAAGATTTTTATTCTAAAATGAAATTTTCAGATACTAGGTCTATTTTCCAGTTCCGGTGTTTGCAAGGCAGAGAACAGCCATCTCTTTTTCACATTTTGCATATTTTATATTAGTTTCCTACATCTTTGTCACTTTTCTCTTGTGTGCTCACTTTCACTAAAAGCTGAAGTGTTTTAGCCAATTGCATATGAAAACTGTTGATCATCCATATTGACTTTTGTGGTGTGTTTTATTACTCTGTGTAATTTTTTTCCCCTATGTTTTCAGTTAACAGCAGGCAGTTTTCAGGACTGTGTGTTTGTGGCAGAATAATTCTGTGACATAGTAATGTTTGTGTTTCCTATTCCTTTCTTAATCTTTCTTGAATTCTAACTTGTTTAGCTGTTGCTATTGAGCTACGGGGATTTGTTTTTTTTACGGGAGGTGTAAGAATGCAATGTCAACCAACCTTACTCATGTACTTATTGGATACTTATTTAAATAATTTGATTTATAGCATTCCTGTACAAAGTCACATTCTTTTTTACTAAAATAGAGTTTCCCTTATGAAGATGTCTAGTGATGGAAGTGGTTTGTGGGTCAGTTAAGAGTTCTTAGTTCTGAGGAATGTTTATGGGATCTTTGAAATTATTTTGAGGTGGTACAGGAAAGTGCTGTTCAGTGACATGAAGGCTAGGGTACATAACCATCAATTGGGCATCAGAATAACATTACTGAGGAAAAAGTAGCTGAATTTAATTCAGAGATAGTAAAAAATTGGACTTTCGGTAAATATGACTGTGTAATTTATTCCTGCTTTGCTCCTCCCCCTAATGTCTTCCAGTACTAAAAGGGGGCGTACAAGAAATCCGAAGAGGGACTTTTTACATGGGTGTGTAGTGATAGGACAAGGGGGAATGGCTCTAAGATGGCAGAGAGCAGATACAAATTAGATGTTAGGAATAAATTTTTTACTATGAGAGTGGTGAGACACTGGCACAGGTTGCTCAGAGAAATTGTAGGTGCCACATGCCTGGAAGTGCTCATGGCCAGGTTGAATGGGGCTTGGAGCAACCTCATTTGGAGGGATGTGTCCCTGCCCATGGCAGAGGGGTTGGAATGAGATGATCTTTTGGGTCCCTCCTAACCCAAACCATTCTATGATTTTATGAATAATAAAAGATCTACCAAATCTAGTTTGCATAATGTTTTGGAAGGTTCATGTTGCTAAAGGTACCTTTTGTACAGGTTCGCAAGTTGATTACAGTGACATCACTAACTTTATTTTGAATGGAGGAGGCTAGGGAAATTTGGCATGTTGAAGTATAAAGGTGGTGCACTGAGCATCAGATGATCAGGGTTTACCCTGTGCATCTCCAAAATGACTCGGTGCTTCAGCTCTGCCTCTGAAGAATGGGGATTTTGGTGTTCTTTCCTGTGTGGTATATTCAGGATTTGACTAAAGGAAGATAGGGTGTTTATTTCTCTAAGTAATGGCTTCTTTTTTGTGTGTAGATGCCTCTATTATTAGTAAAGTTTTTTAGGTGGCAGTAACTGTACATGCAAGGGGAGCAAATCATCTATGCTCAGAGTTCTGCATGGCTAGAGTAGCCTTACGGGAGTGTAAGATTTTGTCTGGGTGTTTTTTTTCTGTGTTAATGTGGTTTCTGATGTACTAGTGTCCTCATCTTGGATGGGATCTCTTGGCCATGGTACAAGCAAATGTGGTGTGTGGTGTGTACAGTGTCTCCTTTGCTCCAAAATAGGCACATCTTAATTTTTTTCTTGGTGAATTAAAATGTGGAGAGGGATTGAAACAAAGACTCTAGTTCTACTCCAGATCAGGCAGCTAATCTATAGGGGTGTTGTAAATTATTGCTTAAAGATAATCTGTTGTCTAGTCAGTGAGTCACAGACAGGTGAATCCTCTGCCAGATTTAATGATCCTAGGTCTTCAGGGGAGAACAGTGAGGTGGGATGCACACACAAACTCACACTGTTATCTGGGGAAAACCAGAGTCACAGGGTGTGCTTGGGAGATGACACTAGGTTGATCCTGGAAAGATAAGCAGATAGGCTTTGGGATATAACTTTCTGGCTGCCAAATGGCAAAGCTGTTTCAGTTTTCTTGTGGCCTTTCTGCATTGCAAATATGATAATGCAGTGATACATACCACAGTGGAAAACAGAAATGAAGTACCTGTCCCATAGACCTAAAAATTGAAAATACATGAAAATGAATCTTGCAGCAAAAATTTTGGTTTCATTGTTTCATTTGAAGTTAAAATAAAGCCAAACAAGTGAACAGTATGCTAACAATAACTAAGTACAATGTGAAAGGAGCTTCTGTCTGGTTGGAAATGTAAATTTTCATTTCATCATTTAAACTGAAAAGAAATAATTTGATTTCATCTTGCGTATCCATTTCTTCTGCATAGGAAAGACTGCCAGTATTTTAGAAGATTAATTTCTCAAGTTGTGAAAAATAACTTCAGAATTTGCTGAATGTTCTTGTCACTCTTTTCAGTGCTGTTCTACTCAACTGCATAGTGCCGCTAGCTTTGCATTTTTACTTTGTGCATTTCTGGAGTTACTCACATGAAATTGGAATACATCAAATCATTCCACCACCAGTTGCTGTAGAGTTCAGGACAGATCCTCAGCATCAACAGTGGAATTTCTCATCACATCATTTAATGATGAAGTACTTCTTGTCCTAGAGAGCCTCCAACACTGTTGTAGGGCAATATTAGGAGAGGGGAGGGTTTTCACTATCCTGGAAGTGTAAAGGCAAAGATGTGACCACTTACAAAAGAGTTTTCCAAGTCATAGAGATGTTTATGAACATTGGCAGCAGAAGCAGAGTCTTTTATGCCTCAGCTTATTTTTAGATAGAAAGGTGTTAAGCTAAATCTATCTCTATGTTTTGTCCTTTCCCTTTTTTCTTTTGTGTTTTTTGTTGTTGTTGTTGTTGTTTTTTAACTTCCCCCTTTTCCTTATTTAGCTGTGGTTGTACTTCTGTGCCAGGTTGGTGTACATTGCAGCATACAGCCTTTCTTTTTTTCAGGTTTTTTACCTGGTCATTTTCCTTTAATCTGAGGGTGTTTTTGTTAATGAAAATGTTTCTGTCCTGTGTAAACTCAGTGTCTTCTATAAATAAATACTTTTGTGGAAAGTCTTAACTGCCTGGAAGGAGCACCCTCTCTGTCACGAGCAGTGTTAAAGCTCTGCCTCAGAACACATTATGCCTTATGGCTAAAAAAACAAGTGTATGACAGGGTATTTCTGGATCATGCTTGGGTACATTCCACGAGGGAGATTTTCCTTAACAATTCTGTATCAGCACATATGAAATATGTTGTCATCCTCTTTATGAGAAGTCACTAAGGATAAGCAAATTTATGAGGAATTGTCCTCATGGGAAGTATTCACTGTGATTTGTCAACTTGGAGATAAGTCTGTTGATTTCTGTATGGTGATAATAATTGGTTTTTGTTGGCACTTCTGGTCAGTGCTGTGCCAAAGATCCCTTGGCTATTTACATAACTGTGATATCTGAACTTTTCAAAATTGATTCAGAGAGGAAGTAAATGTGACTTTAGCAAAGAAAGTCATCCAGTGTTCCAGATAAAGAAACCCCCCTCTGCTATTGTGGACAAAGCTATTGCTAGGAGGTGGTTGATACTTTAATAGTAACCTGTCCAGGAAATTACAATGAAAAGACATCAAATTTCAATACATTTTCAAAAATTGTAAAATTGGGATAGTATTTCACTGTAAAATTGTGACTAAGCACTTTTAAATTAGCATCTTCTTTTTTTTTTCCAGGAAATTTGGAGAGCGACCTCAACCGAAACGGCTCACCAGGTAAGCATCAAAGAAAGTCTGTTTTTAACAGTTTTCTAAAGTTACCCATTTCATTCTCAGAAGGATTTCTAAGTTTAAAAAGTTTGGCTTGATAATAACACTTTTTAGTGCCAAAACTCGGTTGTTGTGTTACTGCTGTCACGCAGCAGGTAGAAGCAAAATGAACACAGTACTGTCAAGGAGTGATCTTAACCAGTTTTTGATTAAACCTGAACAGTCAGAGAAAGCATCAGTTAGTACCATCAAGTCAGACCATTCTGGAAAGTGTTTAGAGTGATTGAAATACAGTGCCTGATTTGCTCCTGGTCTGCCTGGAAGTATTTACACCAGAATCTGTCAGGTAGTCACCATTGTTGTAGCACAGTCTGTGCGAATGTTTATTACTCTGTGCCACAAACTGTGCCGATCTAAAGTAGCCACTGAATTTATAATCCACTGCCTGCTTGAAGTACGACAGGCGTGCAATTTTTCAATAGTTCTGTGTGGTAACAGTGCTGTATAAAGACATCACTCTGGCCTGCTTGTATTTTGAATGAAATTATGATGCCTCATGTAAAGCTCAGGGTGGAGAGGAGCATTTACATTTTGTGTAGGGTACATCTGTTTCATCATGTGCCTGGATAAGCTTCAATGTTAGCTTGTGTATTGTTAAACTTCATTTCAATGCAAAATTTATCTGTACTGACTTATAAGTAATTGAACAAACATTCCTGTTTCCCATTGGCCTACCTATTTTCAGGGATATTTAAGGATACTAAGTTTTAAATAACAAACTGGTTTCTATCTTCAGCAGTAGCATCTTAGTGTCGCTGTGAAGTTACTGACAAAATTTATCTTCTGTGATTTAAAAAGAACAACAGAAATAATGACTGTTCAGTGTAAGGTCTTTTAAATAAGTTTTCTATAACTGTAGTGACTCTAAATTTCATGTGCAGGATTTTAACTACTAGATACGCCAGGTACTCTTTCCTGTGAGTAGGCAGCTGGGAACTGCTAGCCATCCTTCAGTGGCTTGTAAACCTTTTCTGTATCGTTAGAGGCTGGAAACAAACAATGCTGAAATGGAAAAATCTTAAGACATTTTTAAGAGTGTGATTGGTTTACATAATGCTACAAAAATGTGTCTATAAACCCTTAAAGGTGTTTAGTTCAATTACTGGGAAATTATTCTGCCTTCTTGCATAAAGGCAGTCCTGTTTGTCTAATAATCTATCATCATGCAAGTTCCAGCAGAACAGCACTATTTTGTTCATACTGTGCTAGTTGGTTTTAGATGTAAACTGTGAGAGTGCTACATTCATAGAGAGTTTTAAGATTTAATAAAAGAAGAATGTTTTATAAGAATTACAATGGTTACGTATTTTCTTTATCAGTGGGAGGGGTCCGAGGGGAACATTCCTAATTCTTGTAGAAGCTTGGATTGTACAAGTCCACTGTAACAACAGACCAGTAGAAAAGGCAGAATTTCATCCTCATACAGTGCTAAATAAACATTAACTAGCACCTAGTGTTTGTGTGCGTGTGTTGCTGGTGTTTTTTTAAATGATAGTCAAGTCAAAAGATTTTAGTATGACAGATGTTCTTAATTTAGTATGACACTGTTCTTAATAGTATTTTGAATTGTCAGATAACAAGTTTTTAAACCACTTACATGCAAATAATAATATAATGAAATGTATAATAATGATTTCACAATTAATTATGCATTCTGGTTTAAAATGCATTCTTAAACAGTGGTTGTACATGAAAGTAAGCCTGCATGCTTCAAGATAGATCTTCCATCTGTGCTTTCATGGATAAACATCGATTTTTGCCAATGTCAAATACACATAGATCAAGTTAGTCCAAATTAAAAACAGAAATTCAAGTCTTTGCTCTTGTATCTTGCTGTTTACAGAGATAATTTCACACACTGGTCCCTATCTTATGCAGACATGACAAATGCAAGAATTTACAAAACATCATTAACAAAGCTGGATTGTTGTTGTCCAACACCCCCCACCTACTTGCATTCATTCCCTTGTGAAACTGTCTGTGGGGATTTCTTTTGGAAAAGGCCTTGTAAACAAAATACTGTTTCCATCCAAAATATTCTATCTTTTTTTTTTCACTGGAAATGTTTGGTTTTCTGGATCTCTCAAAGAGAACTCAACAGTTGGGTACAGTTTGGAAAAACAAACCGGCCCAAAACAAAACAAAAAAACTCAACAACAAAAAAACCCAAACAAAACAACAACAAAAAACCCCTTTCCTCTGTTGAGTTTCATCTCTTCATATAACTTCCTTAAAATTCATGATTTGTTTCTCTGATTGATGACTTTGAAGGCGAGCACATTGGTGGGCATTAAACCCACAAAAGCTCCTCCAGTGACTTAAAAGTGTTCCTGTCAGCACTCCGACACAGCTAAACCCCAGGGTGTTGAATTTGCCATGCTGCTTAATGAACAGTTAGATTATTATACAGAAGAATGATAGGGTGTATTGTTCTCTTACTTCTCTCAAGGAATCACTGTTAGTGTGTTTAAGGTAATTACAGCTTTTATATAACGTCTGTCAGTACAGTGATGTTGAACGATAGAAAATCTAATAATTTTTTTTTTTTACCCAGTTGTATGCAGGAAGTAGAGACTTCCTCTAGAAAACCAGATGAAATGATAAGCTGGAGAATCTTTTTTTTTTATTTTACTATCTAAGTTGGTTAAGGAGACAATATTCAATTAATAAACTGTGTTCTAATCAAGTATTTGTGGCATGGACTTTAAATGTGGTGTAGTCATTGGCATTGATACAATTTTACATCACAAGCATCTGTTCTGGAAAATGTAGTACTTGTAAAAATGACCACAGACCCTTACTGCTAGCTTCATGCAAGAGAGTTGCTGCTTTTTGCTATGTAGTTGTCTTAAAAACCAAAGCAAACTCATCTTGGTGCTATTAATGGTCACCTTTTTTGAACTTCAGGTGTTGGGGATTTTTGTCCTAAAACTTTCTTTGGATGATTATAGTTCTAAACAAAACAAATGAATTTTCAAAGCTTATTTTGTCTTTTATTTTTAGGGAAGCAATGCGAAATTACCTGAAGGAGCGGGGTGATCAAACAGTGCTAATACTCCATGCAAAAGTTGCGCAGAAGTCGTATGGAAATGAAAAAAGGTAAGTTTCTATTCTTTCCTGGCTTCCTCTAGAGTTCCCAGCTAGGGAAGCTGTAGCATATGGTCTGGTGCATAGTAGGTGTAGAATTCCTCAGATCATACTATAACTTGAAGAAATGTAAGCCAAAATGTGTTCCTGAGATCATCTGATTATGTAACAAAAGCTGCAAACCTTTGGCAATTTTATGTGGTGATGCCTCTTCTACCAACAGGTTCTCTATCTGTGCGTGAAGTTTTTCTTACATTGAATTAAAATGGCTCTAATTTTAAATCTTCCATTTTAAGTTTGGAGTAAGCAGGGTGATCAATGATGGCTATTTGTAGGGGAGGTTTTTCTTGAGTAATTTCAAATTAATATGAAAGGGAAATTACCAGCCTCAGTAAGATATTCTTCTGAATCAGATCTGTTATTGCTTTAAAATAATAACAGGTCAATCATAACCATATTTATGGTTCTTTAACATTCTCTTGTAAAAATAAGTACAGTACAACTTACAATAATAGGTAGTTCTCTAAAGGACGGGATCTGTAAACGTGAAGTTGAATGCTTTTTAGGTAAAGGTGAATTTCCTGCAGTCTTCTCTATGTGATATTTTTATTTAACGACTAGTAGAAGCAAATAGGACGGTCCTTCAGATGCAGATTTCTAGTCCTCATGGTAAAACAGAATTTTAAGTATAAACTGTATTTTTCTACCTTCAACTTCACTAAAATAAGAAGTGCAGTATTTGGTTAGTTTTCAGATACTTTTTATTATTAATATTTTTTTGTCACAAAAGACCATGTATTTAGTACATTAATGGTTTTGAAGTTTTAACCTTACTTTTACACTCACTCATGTCCTGTTACTTCGTTATGTTTTTTCACAGTTTTCTGAGATTTGAGATTTTAGCATACTTAAACATGAAAGTGTTAGAAAACAGGAATGTTAGAATTAAGCCCGCGAAGTTCTCAGTTCATTGCTGCCAATCTAAATCACACTTCCTGATGTCTGTGAATCGTAGATGCAGACTATATTTTCAGCTGTTCTTCAGTATTCTGTGCCTGACTGCTTGTTTTTTCAATATGTGTGGTCCTTTCTGTTAGCCCTTTCTTTTGGGCAGGGTCCAGGTTTTGCAGCTCCATGGAACTGTTAATTCAAAGTGCTTTTTAGATCTTTGTGCAATTCTTGATGAGAATCAAATGGGAAGTCAGCAAAACAGGAAGGAGGAAAGGCATGGAAGCAGACAAGTGTGCTGCATATCTGCTCTGTAACTACACAGGCTTCTTGCTCACTGCCAAACGTAAATGCAGAAGTGTTGCAATGCAAGGCCCTACTAATAGTAAATGATAACTTTAACCCTTTGCAGCCCGCAAGTTTTATCATGTCAGTATAGAGGTCTCTGATCGTTATCTTGTCAGATTGTGTTGTCATTCAGGAGTTGAATAGTTGACTCATTACTGCAGATGAGTAAAGCATGTTACTCCCAAAAAGTGGGGAGTGTGCCTGCAGATAAGACAGTGATTTTCTAAACAGTGTATCTGTAACTTCAGTTAGTCTGTTCTCCAGGGGCTGCAGCAGTTCATGAGTTCAGAAACATTTTGCAGAGTTTTCCTGTGTATCATTATTTTGGAGAGCAGGTTGCATTGAAAGAAGGAGAAAATAAAAAATCAAGTAGTAATTTTGATTATTCAAAGTTCTGTTACAGTTTGGAAAACTTAAATAAGTGTTCTGAAGAATACAGAGCAAAGCTTCAAATTGTCGTTTGCTAAAAGTTTCTGAAAGTGCCTATGTGTAATTGGTAGAATTGCCATAAATACATGCTGCCCTCAATATACGTGTATATTTCACTTGATTCTGTTAAAAATCACTTTGGCGTGTATGTTACCAAAGTAGTAGTAATGCTCAATAAACTAGTTATTGGTTTCCCACTGCTTGAAACAATTGCTAACTGACATTAGGCATTCTTTTACCACTTAGATTTTAGGAGGTGCAGTACAGTGGCCTATCTCAGCACAGCTGCATTAGTTCATGAAAGGTATCTCAGATTTACCTCTTTAAAAATGGGAGCATGTCAAATGTATCTAGAGAGTTTCAGAACTCAATAGATGACTAGGAATGAAAATGTTTGGATGTTTGTCATAGTGAACTGATTGCCATTCTGGTATGGGTGTGAAATGAAAGTTGGGAATACATACTAGGCTTTCATTATCCTGTTTAAATATTTTAGTTTTTCTTACGATTTAACACACCATTTAAACTGTCTCTGCTGCTGTTCTGCTACTTCCCAGACTGTTAGCATCAGTAATGATGGCATGGATATAATCTGGTTAAATTTTGATCCTTGAAGAATAAGTTAAATTACACTATCTTTGTAACTGAGAAGTCACATTACAAAAGGAATTGTTTCTGAAATTTGTCTTAAATTTCTTAAATTTAAAATATTTCTTACATTTAAGTTCTATGTCTTTCAACATAAAACCTAAAAAAAACCCTAAACAAGCTTCCTCCTTTTGGTCTAGTCTTTAAACCTTGTTTGTTGTGAGGTCATGGAAAATATTTATCATTAGTAAATGTTGCATGGCATAATTAAAAGGTTAGCACAATAACTACCTTTCAGTGTTCTGGTGAGGCTTAATAGATGGTGAAATACTCTGTTGAAAACTCAGGGTACATGGTGCAGTCTCATGTAGTGTGGTCTGGTATAAATAGGCCTTAGAGAAACGCAATTCCAGGTTGTTGCCATGTGGATGGAGACTTTCTGGATTAATTTGAGAGTGTTCTTGGTACTTGCCTGTAAATAACAGTAATGAAAGGATGTCCACTTTCTTCAAGTGGACCACTGTTACTAGCCTTGCTTTTCCTAAAGTTAGTGTTGTTTAGTCTGACAAAGAAGCCAGGAGGTGAGAAGCTCAGGGGTGGACTTCAGTTGAGTTTAAGACTTTTTGCCTAATGTTTCCTGTTGGATGGCTGTCATCTTTCAAAAACATTCAGCTGATACTCAGGTGATGTTTAGTGGTAAGTGTGGATGTTTGTCTGGTGCTTCTTACACTATTTTCATATTTACCTTTCACTGAGACTTCTCTCTTTGGAGTCTGAACAGTGTGAACACTCAACATTAAGGTCCTGTGTTGTTTCGCTGCATGTTCAGAATGGAATTGCCACTCTGCTCACAGCATAGAAAAGAGGTATTAAGAGAATAAACCCAGTGAGGAAATTGCCTCCTACATACGTTTCCAGCATTATTTCTTGTACTGAATATTCTCAGCAAGCTCGGAAGAACCAGATACAGCTGCCTTTCCTTCCAGCATGATTTTCTTTTTACTATAGGTCAAATTAATACTTCAGAAGAATTTTTACCTCCTACTTAGTCTTATTTTAGTTTTGTGGTGAAAGGAGAGGTAGGCCCTGTAAATCAAAAGTTGAAGGAAGAGTATTTTCATTTGTTCAGCTGAACATTGTCCTACTTTATTTCCCATCAGTAGTACTGGAAACAAATTATTTTAGGGAGGTGATTTTCTTTTTCTTATTTGCTCATTGTAGTTATCTGAAAGCCAGCTTCTCACATAAACATTTACATTCCTATTTACATCAGAAATATTAATGAGTGAACCGGTTTACAGCAGTCATTTTATACATATCAAAGATAACTTTCTTTAATCATCTGTGAAAATCAGGAATACTCATGGTTTACTCACACTATGTTGGATAGGAAAATTATAATTAATCTCTTCTATACATGAGTTTCTGGGTTTGTAAATACAAAGGAAAAAGCCCCGAGACTGTACTTGCCTATATCTGAAGGTTAGGAGACTGCACATAAGGAACCCCATTCCAGTTGTGGATGTCCAGACTCTTTCTTTCTTGTTTGGTAGTTTAAACCAAACATAAAATTGTCTCAGCTTAAAAAGTTTCTGTCTTTGTTCAGTAAACCGTAGTTTTCCAAAGTTTTTCTCTGTGTTCTAATTTAAAAAGAGCGCTTTAATTGTTGTGGCTTGTTTTCTTTCAGTGGGTTGAAACTCGTTTCTCCTGGGTCTTCATTGCCACCTAGTGGCCATAGCTATTCAAAGGATTTGGTTTAGAGTAAAGCTGTAATGAAAAATTATATGAAAAAGTTTGAGGGTTGTTTTTTTCCTTCTGTTCTAACATTAAGAAAAATACAAAAGAGTACATGAGGAAGAAAGGTAAATGTGTGATGTTGGCTTTATGGTGTTATACCTTCTTGGAAGACAAGGGGTATGGATTCTTTTTTGCAAAGTATTGCTCCATTAATAAAGGTTGATATTAATTTTTAGTCTGTATATAATTTCTTATTGGAAGTAGCTTATACCTGTTGAGAAGAGAATTGGTGCGTTGCATCTATTAACACTGAAAGGATCTTGCTTTGTCACTGGAGTTCACAAGCTGACTAGCTATATGGTGTGCTTTTTGTGGCAATATGGGTTTGTTTCCAAAAGATCTTTTACTTGAAACTTCCTCTCCAAATAGTTGGGAGTTCGTTCATAACCCCCATTTTAAAAGTAGTATTCACAGAGGACCACCATCATGCTTCCCCTATCTGGGATGGCAAAGTAAAGCAGGCCTCCTAAGCAGCGCTTGGGCATGATCACTGCCCTTGCTTGACCCCTTACCAGTCTAATAAACATGTGAGTACTTCTTACACTCTTGCTTGCTTCCCACACTCTTGCTTGCTTCCCACTTGCACATATATATATCTGTGTATTTTTTCAAATGTGATCACAGGTGTCCGCAGTAGACATTTTCTCAGTCTGATGCTAAAGCAGTTATTTCTTACTTTGTTTCAGTTTTCTACTAAAACATGCTGAAAGTTGCAGCAACCAGGTGACAATTATGGTATTTACATCTAGATGCAGGGCAATAAAGGGCATATAGATTAGATTGGTCCTGTAGAAAGTAACGTGCACCTTGTACTTTAATATGAATCTTTTATTCTTGACCATTGTCGTTGCACTGTCTCCCTCACCAGTAAGTGCTCTTAAGATCATTTTTCCTTTAGAGAAGCATTGGGGAAAATGAGGTCATGTCATCTCTGAAATAAATGCAATTGAAAAGTAGGAAATGCATTCTTGTTTTTGAGATCAAAAAATTGTAGTAGGAACGGGAGGATTTAGTTGGCACATAAAAGAAAGCCATATTGTACTTAAATACACTCCTGCTCAATCATTCAGCATCTTCATGAGGAAAGCTGAAACAGCAGAGGTCAGGTAGCGGAAGATGAGATGCAAAAGGCATAAGAGCAAGCAAGAAAGGGATATACCGTGTGTGCTGTTTCATAGCATGTATTACTGCTTACTCCTTCTATTCATGGCCATTTAAAAATTTCAGAACTTCATTCTTACAGCAATGAAAGTTAAAACAGTCTGTTACTGTAGAGTAATTGAAAGAGCCTGGTCACCTGTGCCTTGGTGAAAGGCTCCACAGTGGGCTGTTGCTGCCCCAGAGAGGTGCCTCTGATCATGATAGGATGAGGGGTAATGGTTTTAAACTAAAAGAGGGGAGATTCAGGCTGTATGTGAGGAAGAACTTTTTTACAGTGAGGGTGGTAAAACCCTGACACAGGTTGCCCAGGGAGCTGGTGTATGCCTCGTTCCTTGAGATACTCAAGGCCAGGCTGGACGTGGTTCTGAGCAACCTGATCTAGTTGAGGATATCCCTGCTCATTGAAGGGGGATTGGACTAGATGACTTTTGAAGATCCCTTCCAACCTGAGCTGTTCCATGATTCTATGAAGATGTAACATGTATTCCATTTAAAGACTGCAAAGCGATTTATGCTTTGAAACAGACTCCCTCCTTCCTAATGATGAAACACCAAGTGTTTAGGAATTGTAGTCAGCAGTTGTCCATTAAATCAGTTTGTGGAATTGTTCTGTGTGAATCATGTTATGCACTTGTAAAAGCAAAACACTGTTATCACTTTCAACTTTTTACTTTCTTTCAGAATTTCTTCTTTCTAAGGGTAGAAATTATTTTATAGAAATGCAGAATGTTACATTGCATATATTGAACTGGAAAGATACTCAGTAACTGCATCTCATGCTGATTTTCTTTGCTTTTTTTAATATATTTTATTTGTGTTTTAGAGAATCTTCAGGCAAATGAAGGGCATGTATGTATAAACTGGAATGCAAAGGGTAGCTGGCCTGAGTAGCTTTGGGTACACAACACTGGTATCAAGAATTTTCTTGAAAGCTATGTGTAATCTTATAACGTGCTCTTCATTTTCAGGTTCTTTTGTCCTCCTCCGTGTGTGTATCTTATGGGCAGTGGATGGAAGAAAAAAAAAGAGCAAATGGAACGGGATGGTTGCACTGAGCAAGAGTCACAACCTTGCGCCTTCATTGGAATAGGAAACAGTGACCAAGAAATGCAACAGCTGAACTTGGAAGGAAAGGTAGAAGAAACGTAATAAACCACTCGGATTACTGCAAAAGATATTGTAGCTATATGGTGCATATTTCAAGGAATACTCTTGCTTAATTTTGACAACTTTGTACACAGTAGCAGCTACTACATAAGTGGTTTAAAAAAATCTGTCAAAAATATGTAGGACAATTAATTAGGTAGATTTGGTTCATGGGATCATAGCAGGGTACTAACCTTTAATGTGTTGTTGATTCATTCGGTAAGCTGTTAGATTATTTGGTAGGCATCAGTGATTAACTCAAGTAAGGTTTTTGGCCCAAACTCTCTGTCCTTCTCTCTGGCTTACGTGAATGGATAATCTTAACAAAGAAGTATTTGAACACCATCTGCTGCCAGAAGTGATCTTTAAGTCACTTTGCATAAAAATACAATTCAAATGACATCTTAATAAATTTAGTAAGATCGTTTTGGGGTTTCTTTTCAGTGATACAAATTACTATTAAAAAATCTTACGATATTTGTGATGATTTAAACAGTTGGAATAGAACTGGCAACATGTTAATGCTCATTTTAGCTGGTTGTTTTGTTAAGCAGTATTTTATAGCTATCTAGTATTTCCAGCCCAGTCTACTTAGAAATGCTTCATGTGTTGCTGAATAGGGAAAAGAATAAAAGTTCTTTTTGACATTTTTTTTCCTTTTTTTTTTTTTTTTTGAAGCTCCTGTTGTCAGCTAGCATATAGCACCTAGCCACATTTCACATTTGAAACCGCAGTCATCTCCCAGCCTTTCAAGAAAAAATTGGCTGAACACTTCTTCTGCACAGGCAGCCTCTTGTGCATGCCCACTGCACTACCTGTATAGCTCTATGATAGCTCTACTCAAATGTAATTTTTAGTAGTGCTCTTAATCAGAGATGGATTTGACACAGCTATAGTATCTGATCATCTGGTTTCTAGTTCTGATAAGAGTCTTTAGGAAAAGGCACTAAAGTTGGGTGCTAAACTTCACAACGCTAAACAGTAGTCATAAAAGATACCCATATCGAAGAGATGGAAAAAACAGTTTCTGATCTAGTTTAGAAACTATTGCATCAGTTTTCCTATTTTGTTCATAATTAAATATATGTAGTTTCTTAAACTGGGTTGACTTGAAAAAACAACAGTATGTTTTCACCTACAGAATTATTGCACTGCCAAAACATTATACATATCAGACTCAGACAAGAGAAAGCACTTCATGTTATCAGTAAAAATGTTCTATGGCAATAGTGATGACATCGGTGTGTTCCTCAGTAAACGGATCAAAGTCATCTCCAAACCTTCTAAAAAGAAACAGTCACTGAAAAATGCAGACTGTAAGTATTTTACACTTCTTTATGCAGCAATTCATTTTGCCTCCTGCTAATTTTTTCTTAGGTGCTCTTATGACTACAAAGTAAATACAATTTTCAATTTCTGTTTTTCTGATGTATTTCAGACTACACTGAGTTTTATATGGTCACAGATATTATTTAGTAAATATAAAATGTCCACCAAAAAAACTATTCTTAGGAGTGAATCCTGGTAGACAAATGCATAAAGAATGCTCTACCTTAGCTTTCTAAGTTGTTAGATCTCTTAAGCTGCCTGATGTGGTGCTTAGGATGGTCTGAGCAGCTTCAAAGAGATAGCTTTCAGATTGTAATAAATGAATCGCATCACATTAGCCAAACTGCACTTCATCGTATCACAGCCACCTTCTTACTATCTCATGCCATTTGCATGTTGTTTTTATTTTTAATATGTTTTGCATGGTTCTTTTATGTAATTGGTAAAGAGAAAATCTGGTGATATTTCATCCAGATTTATTTGCTTACTGTGCTTTTTCAAGTAAAGATATCTCTGGTGCTAATGTATAACTGGGAGCAATTTTGCTTTTCCCTGAGTTTTTGCCTCCATACCACTGGAGAACCTCAAGAGATACCCTTTTTTTTTTTTTTTTTTTTTTTTTTCCCTCTCTCTCTTCACTAGTGCTTTAAAAGGCTCTTCCATCTGTGTTGGCCTGGAACCCATTTCACCTATGGAATGTGGATCTTGGGGCACTAGCTTGCCACATGACTAAAGGCAATCTGTTGCTGTGCAGTTCACGCCCATGGGTTCAGAGTATGCACTGTTGACTTTGTTCAGACAGCTGGTTTTGATGGACAGTGAATATGAACCAAGCATTCTTTGATAGTAGATATTAACCAAGTAGAAGAAACATGCCTTTGTCATAGCGAAATGCTAGTTGCAGATTTTTTCAGGGGAGTGGATTTAGCATTTCTCTCTCTCTTGAATGATAAGTAAGTTCAAATATGAGAAAATGTCAAGTTGCATGGTTATTAGAAGTTTACATAGTTATGTCTGTCTTCCTTTCAGTTGATTGTGATTCCTATGAATAATTTCTTTATACTTCATATATACTCTGAATGATCACTGAAAGTTGGAGTACTTCACAAGGGCAACTTAATGCTTAAGCTCAAATAATCAGTTGTTGGAGAACTAGGAACAGGAGGAGTTTTCAGCTGGCAAGCACTGGCCTGTTTGGCTAAGTGGCAAAATTCTGTGGACTAGCATGCCTTTGGAGAACAGCCCACTGTATGTTCCCCACTTGTAATTTTGTGATTTTTTTTTTTTTTATCTCTCATGAATATAAATATTTTCTAAATTTACCAATGGTTGAGAAGTATTTCTTAATTTCATCAGTTTATTTTACTGTATTTGTGAGGTTTTGTTACTTTTTTATGTACTAATGAAGTAATTTTATAATCTCAAGTCTGTATGTGTTCCTTGCAGTATGTATTGCGTCAGGGACAAAAGTGGCACTATTTAATAGACTTCGATCCCAAACAGTTAGCACCAGATATTTGCACGTAGAAGGTGGTAATTTCCATGCCAGTTCACAGCAATGGGGAGCATTTTACATTCACCTCTGTAAGTAAAAATTAAGCAATATATATTTTCACCTCCCTCCCTCCATCCCCACAAATAAAGGTTCTGCATTTTTTTCCTGCATATTAATTGCTCATATGTGGATTTGTTTGTTACTGACTGTATATTTGATGTAATAGTGGGATGTTAAATGTTCCTCCTATTGGGGTAAACAGTGGATAAAACAAATAATGTGAAAATTCCTGTTTCATGCAGTGGATGATGATGAATCAGAAGGAGAAGAATTCACAGTGAGAGATGGCTACATACATTATGGGCAGACTGTCAAACTTGTATGCTCAGTCACTGGCATGGCACTCCCAAGACTGGTACAGTTTAATTTCTCCAATGCTGTAATTAATCTGTAGATTGCATAGAGTGTGTAATTGCATAGTTGAGCTTGTGTTGTTTACAATATTTGGCTTTATTTTTCCTTTTAGTAATATATGTTTTATATGGAAAATGGCATTCAATTTAATGAAAGTGTATTTTTGTATCTGCAGATTAATTCTGTAAGCAAAGAACAGCTTGTAACGTAAGTGTAGGGAACTTCTCAGAATTCAAACCTGCCAAACTAGGTTAGTTTGCAAGCTGTCCTTAAGAATATGTCTATTTTAAAATAGTAATGTAAGCCCCAGTGTAGCAAAACAGTTTAAATATTGATATAAAATAGCTGAATAAAGTCTTTGCAGCCAGCAGCGCTATTCCATTTGTTGAGTTCAGCACAGCTTTAAAAATGCTCTTCCAACTTGAATCTGAAACCACTTCTGTGTACTTCTAAGGATATGTAATGATATCAATATCGGCTTGCAAAAGCATTTTGGACATTTATTAATACTGTCCGTTTTAAATACGGAACATTGAAAATGCCTTTGTAATTACTTTTTTTAGAAAGAGACAATTTCAGCCCTTGTCTTTGTCACAGATGCAAAATTGATTATAACCAGTTATGGTTTGTGAACCAAACAAATCATTGCTGTAATGGTTTTTATAAATAAATTTAAGTATAATTACAGATTTATTTTTTACCTCCTGTTTATGCACTTAATATTAGCCTAAGTGGAATTTTATGTGACTGATACTAAACAATGCTTCATATGCAGTCCTCTGTGAAATTGTGGTTTGCAAGCCCATTATGAACTTCATACGAGGCTTTGCTAATTCCACTTTTAACTAGAAACGATTTTTAGAATGTGCCAATGTAAAACCAACCTTCCCTGCAGGCAGGTTTTTGTTCCCCTTTCCAGACTTATTTTACTAGGACTGTGTATGAAATTCTCTCCTAATATTAAATTTAGCTAAAAAAAAAAGTAAAACTGCTCAGAGTAAGTAGTATAAAACGATCACTTGAATAGTTGTTTTATTGATCACATTATTTGACAGAAAAATCCAGACCTGGTTACTATTGATCTAGTTCAGTGCACATGACACTTACTAAGAGGATCTCACTTTATCTGGGGGCTTCATGATAATATTTTCTTATTGCTGAAAGGAGATGCCATCATTTATGATTCCAGAAACCTTATTTTTAGGTGGAAATAGATTAAAACAAATTAGGCTAAAGGTTCCTGTTTTGTTTGCTATTGGGAACATTCGTCTTGCGCTTTACAAGATTGATTGAGGGTAATGTGATTAAAAGGTAACTTGCAGGCATTTTATAGGTTAATGCAAAGAACTTTGAAGAAACAAGTTAACCTTGAAACTTATATTGCTAATAATGCCATTTATTATCATTAGAAATTCCAGAGGACATGGCTGGCTTTCTGATTGTCGGCTTAGAAATCTTCAAGCACTTTGGCTGCTGCTTCTGCTGATGTTGCATAAAATGAAGTATTAAACCTTTTTCTAGAAGTTGAGTTTAAATTCCAAGATACAGACTTCCACTGTCTGTAAGGGAATAACTTTTTTAATTTTTAAAAATAAATTAGTGTAACAGCTCTGAATTAAATCAGCAGCTACTTTTTCACTGAGCTGTCAGATGTGAGGAACAGTTGTTCTTTGCAGTTGTCTTTAAGTAATAACGACCACCTATTGTTAAGATATACTGTGATTGTTATGTTTGCAAAGCTGTACTTAAGGACATCTCAATACCTGCAAAGTAAATATTTATTTTCAACTGTTCTCATTCAGCAACTAGTCTGCCACAGAATGTTATGGATGCTATCAATGATGGAAGATTCTGTAGAAGTCTGTTAATGCTTGACCTACTGCTTGTTTGTACCATGAAATGGAACAAAAGTAGATTTTGCTGAAGCATCAAGTTTTTTCCCTACTCTTACTCAAAAAAAAGATATATATGCAGGCAGCACACTGAAGATGTAGTATTGAGTGTCACTTCAGTGTTGTGTTCTTACTTCAAAAGCATTGAGAATTATGAATCTAATGTTGTATTAAAACAGGAGGCGTGGAAAATTAAAAAAAAATACTAACAGTACATATGTAATCTCCAATGTAATGAAGTGCAGAAATTGATCTAAATATATATGTACAATTTTCCTTCACAGATAATTCGAAAAGTAGATAAACAAACAGCGTTACTGGATGCAGATGATCCAGTATCGCAGCTCCATAAATGTGCGTTTTACCTTAAAGACACCGAGAGAATGTATTTGTGCCTTTCCCAGGAGAGAATAATCCAGTTTCAAGTGAGTCGTTTAAAACGGGGTTGAGCTTGGAAAGATCTGTAGTTCCTATCCTTCTTACACATTTCTCTTGCAAGCAGTTTTCAGTGCTTTTTTTTTTTTTACATGATCATAGCAAAATGAAGAGTCCACATAAGAATACAGCTTTGATCTTCTTTTCATCTAAACTGGTAAATTCATGCTAGTTGAAGTTTATCTGACATTTTGAAGCATGAAAGTTATGGTTACATATGTAGATATTCTTATAGCTTAATGGAAGAAAACAGAATTTAGGTATTAAAATTAGAATTTTTGAGTCCCATTTTTTCTGTACCTGTGTTTAACCTATACACAATTTTCTTACTGGTTGCTAGGTGATGGAATTAGTCAGAAAGGTGTTGTTGCTATAAAAAACACTTTGTCAATGTATTTTCCATGTATGCATGTATACTGATTTAGTACTATTTACAGGGAGACAGTGAAAGTTTGACTAATTTGCGAGGTTGTCAGTTCAGCTTCTCTCCCATGTCTGCACAAACACTGAAATATAATCTATGATTCTATAAGATTGTGTTATCTATCATTTTGTGGATGTTGAAGAGCTCTCTAAAAGGAAAACAAAATCCTGGCCTTATATAAATCATAACTAATGGAAACTTATTGGAGTCTGTAGGTGTTTTAGTCACTTTGCATTATTAAAGCAAGCTCTATTTTAAATAGCTGCTTGGAGTTGGTATATTTTGTTGGTTGTTGGCTGTTGAATAATGTTAACACTTTGAAAGCTGAACTGAAATAAAACCCAATAATAAACAGAAGGTTGGAAACGTGACAGTATCACAGGTGAGAGTTACAGTGTTCGCACAAGCTTTAGTTTTTTACTACTTTTGCTGAAATGTATGCGACTGTTTCTTTAGGTCATTTTGTTGCAAGAAATATGTAAGGAAACATGTTTTTGGAATAGACATTGTTACTTGCTGAGTTGGTTTTTAGCTCTGTGACTTGACTAATGAGTCTACAGGTCAGATTGAAAACTTTTCTTTCTTTCTAAGGCCACTCCATGCCCAAAAGAACCAAATAAAGAAATGATTAATGACGGAGCTTCTTGGACAATCATTAGCACAGATAAAGCAGAATACACATTTTATGAGGGGATGGGACCGGTCCATGCTCCTGTGACACCTGTGCCTGTTGTAGAAAGTCTTCAGGTAAGTTGGTTGGTTTTTATTTTAATTTTTTTTTTTTTAATAAACTCTCTTATGTGAGATTATTTTTGTCATGCAAATTTAACCTTCATGGTACCATTGTGGAATACTGTAGGAAAGCATTCTTACTTGCTTTATAAATAGGAAACTTACTTTATGTTGCAACAAGTTTTCTTACCTACCTTTCAGAATACATGAGCCTGTCCATCATAGGAATAATATTGTTCTATACATTAAGTATTTTATTTCTTAGAGTACTTTGGTAGTAATATCCTTAGGACTTCTACTTTTGTTTGATCATTTAGAAATTGATTTTGGCTCTTAAATCAACCAACTATAGATCAGACAGAGCCAGACAGATACCTTGTTAAGAAAATAAGCTCTCCTAACACGTTCTCCGAAAGATTGTTTGTTCTTTGTTTTCAAAGCCTTATTGAATCCTGTTCTGAGTAGCCACTATCAAAACTTGTAAGCTCTTTCAGGATATCAAATTAATTGGCAGTATCTTTTAGATGTGTTACTTCTTTTACAGCTCAGTTGTGTAGGTATTTCTTTCAGTTTTATCCAGGTGACAGAAACAGCACTGTTTACAGCTCCTATATGCATGTGAATAATTTTTCTTGTTTTGGTTTTCTTCCTTAGAAGGGGTGTATATTTTTATTAATACTTTTTTACGTTGGATTTTCTAATTTTTTCTATTCAATTCCTTTCCAGTTGAATGGTGGTGGGGATGTAGCAATGTTGGAACTTACAGGACAGAACTTCACTCCAAATTTACGTGTCTGGTTTGGGGATGTGGAAGCAGAAACCATGTACAGGTACAGTATTTTCTACTACTTTTATGGTGACTGCATTTTACTGGATGCTTTGAAGAACATATATTCACATGTACACACTGAAGCATATACTTTGTGCCCTGCAGAGAGGGATCTGGGAGTGCTGGTTGACAGCAGGCTCAATATGAGTCAGCAGTGTGCCCTTGCAGCCAAGAGGTCAAACTGCATCCAGCTGGTCAGAAGAGGTGATTATTCCACTGTATTTAGCATTGGTGCCACCTCACCTTGGGCACTGTGTGCAGTCCTTGGCCCCACAGTTTAAGAAGGATATGGAGGTAATTAAATGTGTCCAGGGGAGGGCAACAAAGCTGTTAGGATGTAGGCTGGAGGGAATGTCCTGTGAGGAGCAGGTAAGGACTCTGGGCTTGTCTAGTTTGGTGAAAAGAAGGCTGATGGGTGACCTCCTCTCTCTCTATAGCTTCCTGAGGAGGGAAGGTGGAGAAGGAAGTGCTGAGCTCTTCTCCGTGGTATCATGTGCCAGAATGCATAGGAACAGTTCAAAGCTGTGTCAGTTGGGGTTTAGTCTGGACTTTAGGGTACATTACTGAGAAGGCAATCAAACACTGGAACAGGCTTCCTTGAGAGGTGGTTGGTTCCCCATGCCAGTCAGCATTTGAGGCATTTGAAAAACACTCTTAATAATATGCTGTAACTTTTGGTCAGCTCTGAAGTGGTCAAGCTGTTGAACTAGATCTGTTGTAAGACCCATCCAGCCGAACTGTTCTGATCTGTTCTATTCTCTAAGCTTAAGTTTTATTGTGCTCAGTTGACCCTCTTTTTTTCCAGGTGTGCAGAGAGTATGCTGTGTGTTGTTCCAGACATTTCTGCATTTCGAGAGGGCTGGAGGTGGGTCCGTCAGCCAGTCCAGGTTCCAGTAACTTTGGTCCGTAACGATGGCATAATTTACTCCACCAGCCTTACCTTTACGTACACACCGGAACCAGGGCCACGACCACACTGCAGTGCTGCTGGAGCAATCCTCAGAGCCAACTCAAGCCTCATGGCTTCCAGTGAAACAAATACAAACAGCGAGGGAAGTTACACAAACGTCAGCACAAATCCAACCAATGTCACATCATCTACAGCAACTGTAGTTTCCTAACTACTGTCGTTTGTCTGGACTTTAACTGACTTTTGAGTGCTACATTCAAGAGAACTGAACAATTTTTGTGGTTTCATGGGAAAACACCTTTCCATTTTAGGTGATGTTATTTGAACCTTGTTACCTGCAAGTGCTGATCTTAAATACAGAAGCCACAATAAAAAAAAAAAACAAAACAAAACAAAACCAAACACCACAACCAACACCGGAAACATAAGAACTTTATTGAAAATCTATTTTTCAGCTGTGTTTTTTTTTTAATGGGCAAGAAACAAAAAATGTGGCTGGGATACATGTTGAGCAAACTAGAAAACATGAACACAACATAGTTTTTATGGACCAAGGAACTTGTATAAGCTTTAGTATAAAAGGTACATTTTCACCATACCTTTTTTGTATCACAACATATAGTACACTTTTGTTACCAAATAGTTTATATTTTTTTTTCCTCTGAGCTTTTGCTCTGAAGTATATTCAGGTTCCAAGCCTGACCATGCTTGTATAATCTAATTACCATACTCTTCCAGTTTTAAAAAAATATATATATTTTTGGTCTGTGGCTGGAACTGTTCCTTTTTTTAAACTGAAGTCTTGTGACTTTTTATGAACTGAAATTGTTTTTTATTTCAGCAAGTAGAACCTTGTAAAGGCCAGCATATTTTTTTTAAGATTATATGAAGTCTGTGCAAAAGCTTTAAAAAATGCCTCTGCCTTGCCTGCAATACATGCAATGTATGTTAACTTTAGTGCTCTGTTTTCAGTCATTGTTAATAGTTATTTCTGTTTTCCTTTTTTAAATGTGTATTTATAGTCATAATTCGTGAGGTTCTAACATTACATGAGTTTTTTTAAAGTGGCATCTCAAGCAGTCATATTAATGATTGTTCATGTCACAGGCATATGTTGGTGTTTTTGAAGGGTTGTTACTGGGTTGCTTCCCCTCTTCCTTGCTCAGTCATAGTACATCTGAAAATGTTTCAGGATCTGTTCAGGTTTTTCTAATCTTGTACATAATTTGTATTAAGTGTAAGTTAAATGTTTTATTTCAAAAGTGGAATGTTCCCAATAACTTCATTTGGCAGCATGTCTTCTGTCTTGTTGGCATGTAACTAAAGTACCATGAGAAATATGTGCTACAAATGGGATTGGTAGGTGATGCCCTTCATCGTTTGAGAATCACAACAAGCATGTTTTTCTTCATACTGTTCAGTAAATTAGGCCAGACTTTGGTGTAACACTTGTATTGAGAACGTGCTTTCATTGTGAAGTGATCATACCATAATAACTAGAAGTAAATTTTATTACTTAGATATGGGCAAATAGAAAACCATAAAAGCACTATGAAGATGTTAACTCCTTCCATCCTTATTTCCTGTGGGTTTCTCTTTCCCTGCCAACAGCTTATGCAGCATTCAGGTCTTCTCTCCATCATAAATTCAAGGCTCATTTGCACTTTGACTTTGTTGGTTGTTGCATTTGTTTTTCATTTTGACTTTGCCATGTTTTTGTCCCTCCTTGTAGACCTGCCTGCCTCATTTGTATTTCAAAGTATACCCCCGTAGTTCATTTGTAGTCACAGAACTAGGGATAGACTCATAGGACAAGTTCTGATAGTGTGATCTTCCTTTTTAAAAGCCAAAATACAAATTTTGTGCTGTGTTCAGCCTTTTCCATACCCTGAAGCAAGAGTCACAGCTGCTGTGTAAATGTGAACCTGTGGCTTCCTACAGTGTGTTGCTTACAAGCCTATCTGTTGACCATTTCACAGGGTTTTTATTTCTGACCGCTTATTCCAGTTTCAACACCCGCCACCATTTTAAAGCATTGTCTCTGCACCATATTTGTGTACTCTGTGCTCCGTTCTACTTGTTTGCTTTAGTGCTCTGTTGTATATGTGAAACAATGTGGTTAAAGGAAGAAATTGATTATAAAGCATATTTAGCTAATAGTAAAATTGGTGCCACTGTCCTTTGAAAATGTGCTTGTATTCTACCACAGGCCTTCATATTTGCTATTCTGTCTGACAAAATTTCTTCCCATGACGTAGTCGCAATGCTGGTTCTTAGCACTAGTGAATACTGCCTCACCTCATCTCTGTTTCAGTGACCAAGGGCAGAATTCATTGTGGCCTTATCTCTGTTTTAAACTGTTTACTTGCAAATCTGTTTACCTTTGTGAGTGCTATAAAACTTTGTTTTAATTGTGTTGTAGCAGGAATCATTTCACAGTGTTTTTGTTAGAAGCACAGAAGTATCTTACAATACGGCTTAATTCAAGAGCCACAGATTTTCATCACTGGTTAGAATTAAACTAAGCGATAAATATATATCAGATTCAGAGGGTATTCAAGAAGAAACCACAATATACACACGGTAGACAAACCATAACAAGCCTTTCAACCTTCAAAGGCTATTTAAAATAGCTTTTCAGAACTTGACACATGCTTTTATACTCATTATTTTAAGATTTTTACATATAAATGCAATACTTTTTATATTCAGTTTCTGTACTTACAGCAGTTTTGCCCAGTAGATGCAATATTCCTTGACTTGTAAAGAACCTAATGACTTAGCCTAATATTTGGTGTTCTACACACTACAGCGAAGTGGGTGAAAAAAAGAGACTATTAAAGTTCTGCTTACAAGATCATTTTAAACCCCATTTTACCTGTGGGCTTGTGGCTCTGTTGTTGCCAGTAGTTATTCAGTAGTACAGAAATGGTCTTCCAGGTCCTTACTGTTGTTAAGATGTCTGGTAGTTCAGATATATTATCTTCCTGAACTTTTTCCTGTGGGGTGATATTGTTACATTTATTGGCCTTGTGAGCTGTTAATCAATTTTCATGCTATTAACAATATCTCAAGATTTTGATAAAACTACGTTTAGAATGTTTCAGTATGAAACTATTATAATTGTTCAAGTCTAGCTGTGTTAAGTCTGCTGTTAATTCTATATACATAGAAATTGAGTCTGTGTTCAGAATGTTGTTTAGTTCCAACTATAGGAAGAAAAAGCATAAAAAGCATATTAAGTGCTCAAATTTAGCAATGCCTTTTTCTTACTTTCTTTTGTTTGGAACTGCATTTCAGAATTCAACACTAGCATAGTCTTTAATAAACTGCTGCTGATGTTTTTCCTAATTATTTGCCTGAGGGCATCCCACGACTGTGTAATAATGGTATTCTGTACTTCTTTTCATTGCACAGACTTGTAAGATGAGAATGATTACCTGAAAAGACATGAACTCAAGACATAAATCAGAGAATTCCCCGTATACAAAATCTTAATGCCAAGTGAAGCAAATTATCTATTGGAAGTAAGCTACCCTCTTGTTGATTGAATGACTCCATTGAGGTGTCCATCTTGAAACTAAGATGCTCTTCAATTATTAACCATATTATTTACTTTCTTTCAAAAGCAGCTGTGTTTATGAGTACTGAACAAATGTGTATACTTTCCTGTGCCAGACTTTTGACTTTGTTTTCAAGCACTGTACTGTGGGATTGAGTGGCAGCTTTGTTAGAAAAAGAAGTATATTAGGGTTCTACTTAACCCTTTTAGGACTGAACGACTTCTTCCCTTTAAATGCTGTAAATTAAATGAGCAGTTCTAACTTTGTAAATGTGCTGTGTTCAGCACTGCATTTGCCCCATCTGGAGGTGCTATGCTAATGACTTATTTCTAAATCCTGTAGCATGTGTGTACATTCAGTCTTAAAAGGGTTATTTTTACAAACTGTGCACCTGTAAAGTTTCTTAGCAATAAGGTAGAAAAATGAGCAAGTTTTTACCATAATTTTCTAGAATTAATTGCTCAGTTCCATATTTCATCAAGAAAAACCCTGCAATATGGGCAGTTTTGAGGATTAAATAAAAGTGAAATGTAAACCACATAAAAGTGTTTTTGTCAAGTGTACTCTGTGTGTGTGTATGTGTATATACTATTGGGTTTCATTTTTTTTCCCTACAGAGAAAATGCCATGTTACTGTTGATGTGACAAACGTAATTGAACATCTGTATAGTGATTTAAAAGTAGTTATGATATGATCAGGGGTTGAAGCTTGCCACATTTTTGTGGATTTTTTTAAATGTTAACCAAGGAATATGGTTTTTATTTTCTTACTTGTGTGAACAAACAGTGAGGCCATCTATGGAGCCAGAGCACCACAAAAGAAAACCAAGCCAGGAGTGGGAAAGTCATCACTAGTTGTGAGGCTATGCACACTGTACTCCACTCAAATGGGGTATGGAATGTCCACCCAGAAATCTAAATCGGTTTCATTATTGCTTGTATTATTGCTGGAGTTGGATAAGAAACTGTTTATTTCCATAATGTAACAAAAAAAAAACCAAAACAACTGAAAACCAAACCAATAACTGGTTCACTTTTTTTATGTTATTTATTAAGTAAGAAAAAAACCCAACTGTTTAATTGTTTAACTTTAGCTACTTTATTATTGTAACTAGTATACCTGACTTGTTTTCATCCTTTCCTTAGCTGCAGGCTGTCTGTTATTTCTTTCAGTAGGCTAATAATTAGAAGTAGAAATTTAGCAAGCTAGTTCGTTTCTTTGACAGAATACTCTAGTAGGCCCATAAGGAGCTTGAAATTATGCACTCTTTTAATTTGCAAGCACAGGTGACACAGTCACTTGAAAAAAGTTTCTGAGATGGAACGTGGACACAGCAGAGAGAGAATCTGGAATGGCAAAACAAAAACCTACCAGTACTAGTTTTGTGTTAAACTAATCCAAAAATCACTGGTTTATCCATAAGACTGAAGGGGCCAGAAGTGGTTGTTCAGGAAGTGTGGAGAGAGCAAGAGAGGTGTCTTTGGAAAACATAGATCATTTGACTAAAAGAAGCATATTACAGATTTTTATTGAGACATCTGCAGAGGTGAATGCCATTGTTATTAGGATACATAAAGCAGCCATAAACAAAACTCTGGTAGAGCTTCTGCTGTTTGAAACAGGGACAGTATGGGCAGATTACATCTTAAAATTATTTTGCAAGGACTCTTGCAGTCTGTTTCAGGAATGATAAATCGATTCTTCTAGAACAGACTAGGAATTGGATCTGAGGTTTTGGCAGAACGGTCATTTGCTAAACTTTGGTGTTGGTACATAAGAAACTACATGGGATGGTGCTGGTCTTAAGTGAAGAACTACGGATAGAAAAAAATCTCTTAATCTAAACCTTGACAATTAGCTATGTAAACAGTCTTGATAATAAATACTGTTAAAATCCACAGTAGAGGATTAAAAGGAGAATGGTGTGAAATTATTTGGCTATGGGAGAGGATTCATTTGGAGGATTACATGCAATATATGCTATTTCAGGAGCATTCAGAATTACAGAACTGGAACAGATAGTTGGCATTTCTCAGTGCCCTGTGTAGATTGGAGTTGCGTGATTCTGAGAAGGATAGAAACCACCTGTATGTGCTCAGTTAGTGTCCATAAAGGATATTTAGTTCTGATACCCAGTAGCACATTCTTAGTGTGAGGCCAAAAGCATTGAGAATTAGCCCATATTACTTACTTTCTCAAGTATTTATCAATACTTTTGTATTGAATATCAACATTAATTATGCTAAAGATAAATAAGTTGAGGAAGTCTTCAGCAAACTTATAAGCTAACTGCTGTCTGAAGAATATCTGATAAAGCCACCTGAATTTGCCAGCTTTCAGATCCTGCATCATCTTCAAGTAAGGAAAACGATGGTTAAAAGCTTGCTGTTGCCTTTTCCATGCGCTATTGCCTTTGTATTCTTGTCTCCGTTCCCTTACTTTTCATGTAAGGGAACTTTTCTTCATCCTTAATTAGTTTCTAGTTTTTCTCTGAATTTGTAAATTTTGCTGCACAATTTAGGAGAAGGGAGTCGTTGTTACCTAAGGTGAACTATTAACTTGTGAGACTAAGTGCTGTCATCTCTGCTGTTTCTACTGTTGTGCTGTGGGATGGGGGAGAAAGAAATGTTTGGTTTTTTTTAAGCTGCTTGTAGATAAGTTGAATGGAAGTTTCTGCAGACCTGGCCTTAGTGATGTGCAGGTCTTCATCTGAAGATAACACATGTAATTTGGAACTATACAAAGGTGCCTGTGAGTCTTCATTTGAATGTAGAAATTCTTTGCTTATTACCCACCTTTTAATTATATTTCTTGTCGTGTTGCCCCCTCACCTGTGTTCATTAAAACCTTAAAATCATCTCTGCTTTTAACTAAAATACCATTGTTCTACTTGCTGATTTGTTCACTGGGAAATTTGCCCTTTTCCACCTCTGCAAATTCCCACAGACATGTTTCTCAAGCAAGATGGGACCTTGTACCATTTGAGCTAATTCTGTGCCCTGCCTCCATCTCTTACTTTCTACTTCAGCTTTTCCTGGGTGACTTGACTTTGAGGCCTTTGACATACAAATAAATAATAGCAGCTGCATTCATTTGTTCATTGCTATACCCGTACTTTAAGATATATATAATAAATTGTTCTCCATTGGCCATCCTGTACAGAAGGAAGGATTTCATTACAGAAACCACAGCCTTACAGACCATATCATTAGCATATTTTTAAAACCTTCATAGTTCTGCTTCAATAATACAAATATATAAAAGGTAGAAGCACCGAGCTGTGCATAGTGTGTTTTCTGCCTGGGAATTGTCTAATAACCAACTGGTCACAAACATCTAAGTAGTCCTTAAAAGCTCTGAGTGAGTTTAATTCTGGTTTGAGCCTAGTGACTTTTTTTTTTGAGAGAGTCGATGTGTTCTAGTGTTTCTTCTTGATTTTGACAATTCCGATGAATTCTATGTAAAATGTTTAGAACTAATCCAGCCAAGGTATCTGTGCTTTGAAATGGGATGTGATCCAGAGATCCACACTGCTGTCTTCATTACACATGGCAAACATGACAGCAGTGACTTCAAACTTGGATTTTCGGTCTTCATCTGGATAACTTTGTGTGATACTTCTGTATGTGTGTGTGGTTGCACTGTTAGTTCAGTGTGAACTCTAAATATTTCTTGACCTGCATAGGCATGTCTCATGCAGCACCATAGAAATACACACACAAGCTGCAGACTCAAATGGTCAGTTTGTATATCTTGTTAGCTTCCATCTTTTATTTTTATCCCCAATAATCTGTTACTGTGATGTCTTAAATTATGTCTTTTCTCTACTCTTGTAGTTTTTTCTGTTTTGGTTTATTTTGGTTTTCTTTTCAATTAGGTGTGCTTCAAATTCCATTTCAGTTCTCTCACTGCCAACAGTCTTGCTTTGTGGAAATTGGCAAAGGGCAAATAGAGGATTCATGGTAATGTACTGCCCTAAATAACATAATTGGGAATTCACAAAAAAATGTGAGAGATTCAGCAACATTATTAGATTTTAACATGTAAGAAATCATTAGGTTAAGAAATGCTATACCTGATTCTTTAGATGTATTCGTATCTGGTCCCAATGAAAGGTATTTCTGTGCTTTGCCTTTGAAAGCAAGAATTTTAAATTTCTGATGCTGTTTAACTTAGTTCTGTGGAGTTCTTTGCAACACTGAAAAAATAAGCACCTTGACATATAGACAAGTCAACTGCAAATTTACCTCTTGAAGTCAATGCAGTGTCTGCCAAAGCATCTACTTTCTTCTTTTGAGGGAAAAAAGTCAGTAGTCGCATTGTTTCTTCAGCCTGATCAGGTTTTATGGGTGGTAGAGCCTGGTTTGTGTGACAATTTAAGTGGTGTGATCAAGTATAGTTGCTAAGGTGGCATAGTCTTGTAGCCTGCAGCAATACAAAGCAGAATATCTTGCAAAACAATTAAAAACCACAAAAAAATCTTTTGTTGACAAAGTAGGCAACTAGAACAAAATCCCAGTTGAAGAAGGAATTTAGTTTCTTTTTTTTTTCCAAATGAAAACACCTTGTGGCAGTGCTGTGCAGATCACTGCTTAGTTAGTGCAAATTTCAGAAGAGTTCCTAGCAAATTAAATAATTTCTGAAGGGCCTGATGTGGATTAACCTCTTTGTGGGCATGTGTATCTGTTTTGACAGTCCTTTGCTGCTCCATGCTGCTTTTTACAGCATGCCATGGTTTGAGGAGCTGTCAGGGTTTTGGACTCTGCTTGATGTGATGACCTCAGTTGTGAGACTGATGCTTATGTCATTTTCCCAGTTCCTTACATTCAGAAAGTTTTAGACTTCTAAATCAATTCCTGGTGAAGGGTTTTACCTTGGAGGTTCAATAGACATAGAAATGGAGCAACAGTCTGAAAAAAAAAAGTTTATTATTTAATTAATTTACAAGTAATGTGAATAAGGAAAATACTTTTTCTGATTTTGGCAGTATAAATGCAATCAGTGAGTGTTTAAGCTTTCAAATACATCTGCACTTTCTACCTGCTGGTTCATTATGCAAGTTAATTTTATGCTACTTAGTCAAAGAAAAAAAGTTACATGTTTTTTTATGTGTTGGTTTATAGTCTACCTTCAGATACTTTGACTCTTGAGCTATCATGAGCCAAGTGTCTTTCATCCTAAAAATTTATTATCTGAGTGTCTTTATATCCTGGACTACTTTAAAATTCAGAGATTTAACTCTGATGGGGGCATCATCCCATCCCAACACACCCAGTCAGTTGCCAGCACCTATAATAAATGATCAGAGCAATGTAGAGATATCCCAGCTGCTCCAGCTAATGAGCTGGCTTCAGCGGGAGCTCAGCTCAGATGCCTCTATACAAACACCCGTAGCATGGGGAACAAACAAGAGGAATTAGAGATGTGTGCACGTCTACAGGGGTATGATACAATAGGCATCACAGAAACATGGTGGGATGGCTCCTATGACTGGAGTGTTGGAATGGAAGGTTACAGGCTCTTTAGAAAAGACAGGCCTGGCAG